CCTGGGGTTGGATGCAACAGCGCCGTCTGGCTCGGCCTGGATCTACTACTATGCCAGGATGCCATTTGAAGACAGGGCCCTGGGGTCCCGGGGTCAGGGGAGGCCAGTTTAGGTCAGCTGACCATCACTGGGGAGACAGAAGCTCCTCTGGGCCTGTGCTGGGTGACAACTTCCCACAGGGTCCTTCTCCCAGTGGCTCAGTCTGAGTCCTTCTCATCTGTCCCTCTTACCCACAAGCTTTCAAGTGTGTCCCTTGACACAGTGTCCCCAGCTCTGCTCTCTGGACTCATGACATTAAGCAATAGAAGTAAATGCAGTTAACACCCATGGAAAGAAATGCCCGGAGAGACGGAGTGATTTGCTGAGTCCCCGATGCTAGATGCCATCAAGCTAGACTTGGAACTCTGCAGGCACATTGTAGCATCCTCACACTGACAAAGCATCTCTTAATGGTATACAGTATAAAAAGCATATTTATGACATGCCAGGACCCCAGGTCCCCTCTGTGGTAGTAATTGTCCCATTTTGAGAGAACCATGGTTCTGCGGGGACTCCTTCCCCAGCCTTCTCCTGTCTGCCTCTGGAGGCTCCTGGGCAGAGCATGGTCTTGGCTGCTCACCCCTGTAGGCATGGGAATGGACCCATGAGTCGTCCCTCAAGAGCTCTGAGGTGTTCACTGCTTGGATGCAGGTCAACACTGACACTGAGAAGATTGAACCACTGTGCCCGGTGGATTCAGACCTTGTGAAAATAGGGACTCTAAGACAGTTTGTGAGGAGCCAGAAACGGGAGGGAGTAGCATTGAGGCCTGGAGCCACCTGGAAGCTTAAGCAGGAGTCTGGGTCTGGATTGTCCCCAAGCTGGAGCCAGTTCCCAATGATGGATTTGAACCCAGGCAGCGTTTGGTTAGAGAACTATAGTCGGGAGCATTGGGGTGACTTGGAAGCTCTACGTAGCTGGACGGGAGCTTCAGGGACTGACGGGAGCAGTGGGAGAGAGCCCAGGAAACCCAGGACTTCCTGAGAGCCCTCTTCCATCCTGCATATTGCTCCAATTAGCAGTAGTAGCTGGTAGAAGTTGCATCAGGCAGAACTGTGGGCCTCAGGGGGGCTGTTCTAGCTGTCACTCACCTCTCCTCAGTTCCTCTCTCAGAGACTAATTGGACTTCTTTACTTTGCTGAGGGGTTCTCCAAGGACTGGGGTGCTGCCTGGGAGGAGATCCCCGTCCTCAGGTGGCCTCTGCCACGTGGACCCGAGCCCTTGAGCACGCGTGAGGTCATGTGGGAGGATGGGTAAACACTGGCCTAAGATATGCAGACGGATGCAGGGACCCCAGGGAGTGGTCAGGCGTCTCTGGATTCCTATTAAGCACTGCCTCAACCTTAAGCCTCTGCAGAGTCTGGGAGGCCCCTTTAGGAAGCCGCAGTGCTCAGAGTCAGCAGCCTGCCTTAGGGACGGAGCCTCTGAGAAGCACGGACCATTGGTGTGAACACATGGACCACACCACGCTGGAGTCTCCTAGGAAGCTGCACCCTGAGCCCACGCTGAGCTCAGCACTGAGCATCCCTGCATGCTGAGCATGCATTGAGCGAATGTGGCGGACCCTGTGAGGGCATTCGCTGTCCCACATAGTGGGACAGGATTGCACACTCCAGCTGAAGAGGTGATCACGTACTGCTCCAGGCCACACGTTACTGCTCACGTTAAATTTGTCCTTCTGTGCCCTTCTGTGGAACAGCACGGTCAGGGTGTCGGTACCCAGCTCCTTTTCCCGGCTGGATAATATTCTGAAAGGGCGTGGTACCTTTTGATCACTCACGGACCCACCCTGGGCATTTCGGTTGAGATGAGAGAGTTTGCCAGCTGTGTTCTCACCGTGTCTACTGTGTACCTGTGTGTTCTAACCATGTCTACTGTGTACATGTGTGTTCTAACCATGTCTACTGTGTACATGTGTGTTCTAACCTTGTCTACTGTGTACATGTGTGTTCTCACCGTGTCTACTGTATACATGTGTGTTCTAACCTTGTCTACTGTGTACATGTGTGTTCTCACCGTGCCTACTGTATACATGTGTGTTCTAACCTTGTCTACTGTGTACATGTGTGTTCTAACCGTGTCTACTGTGTACATATGTGTTCTACCGTGTCTACTGTGTCCATGTGATCTGTAGGAAACTTACCTGTGAAGCAAGCACTGTTCTGATGCCACAGAGTAGGCCTTTGAGGCTCAGAGAGGCGAAATGACTTGTCCCCAGGGTCATTAAGCCAAAAAGCGCAGACACAGGACCCCCCAATCCCACACTGCGATGATGACTGTGGTCACCTGGGGCTATTAGGTTTGTTTTCTAGATAACCACAGCTGGGGTCCCCCAAGCCAGACTCTTAAGTCAAAATCTCTACAGCTGTCTCTCTTGGCTAGGAATGACTTTGTGCCTGTTCCTTTCCCAGGAAACCCCAGCCATGTATGCACACATTTGGGGGGTGTCATAGCTGGTAGACGGGGCACTACTGGCATCCAGTGGGGAGAGACCAGAGACTTGGGGTGCTGTTGAATATTCTAATAGTGCATGAACTGGTCCCACAGTAAAGAAGGATCAGATCCAAGGCTGGAGGCACGGAGGCTGCGGGTCTAATTTTAAAAGCCCGGTGGACTGCCAGGCTGGCTTTCTGTTCAGCGTCCCCATAGGCTTGCACACGTGTATGCAAATGGCCTGGGAGGAGCCAGAGGCTCACCTTTCCCATTCAATCCCACTGGGAAGGCTTGGCCACACCTTGGGTGTGACACTGAGGCCTCCAGGAAGCTGGCTTGCTGTCTTCACTTTTTGTCCGCCACATCCCTTTCAGAGGGAAGGAGGTAGCATTGCAGATGTGGCGGTTGCTGCTGCTGCTGCCTGCAGGAGACCTGAAGCTGTGCAGGGAGGAGGCTGCCCCAGACCCGTGTGTTTGCGCAGTACATGGTGATTCACGGCGAGGCTCCCACCCCTCGGAGAGCTCACCCAGCCTGGCCCTGGCCTGACTGGCTGCAAGCCCTTGGCTGGCCTCCCCCAGTAGCAATGACTCAGGTTTTCCACCTGTAAAATGGGAGGGGTGGCTCTTGCTAGCATCGCCATCACCGGCAGCCCCTCCCACACCCCCCCACCCCTCCTCCATCAAAGGCAAGTCTGAGAAGCCGCTTCTGTAGCTGCTGTTTTCACTGCTAGCAAACCTGCCTTAGCAGTAGCTCAATTAAAAATCAAGGGGCTTCCATACTGAAAGTCAGGCTTAATAATGCACCCATGTGGGAGGAATTAGCAGTTTTGTCCCTGGCTCCTCAACATGTCCTGGAGCTCCCAGGCAGTGGGGTGCTGGATTGCCTTTGAGCACTGAGCCAGGCATCAGGACCACAGGGCTGGGCAAGTCACTGGGAAGTGGGTGGAAGCCTTGGAAGTCCCTAAGTGCACCTGCTACCCAGCTCAGCTCCCCAGCCCTGGGGACAGAGGAAGAGGGTGATATGTACTGCGACGTGGAAGGAAAGGGTTAAGCCTGGGCCTCACAAGGCTGCTGCTCAGGCTCCTGGCTCCCAGATGGGGACGGGAGGGGATGGGGAGGTCCAGGGGCCCTGGCATGGAAAGACCTGGCCTTCTGCCCAGCTCTAAGCTCTAGGACAAGAGCCAGAAGCTCAAGCTGACTCACCAGGAAAGCAGGGCTGTGGAGGGAGGGAGGGAGAGAGGGAGGGAGGGAGGGGCCTAAGGGAGTGGGCGGGACCTGGCTGCAGCTGGAGGTCCCTTGTCACCTAGCTGGTGATGCACCTGCCTCTATTGTCTCCTTCCATAAAGGGCTGAGGGGTGGCTCCGGGTATTGGCCTGCCGAGGAAAAGGGTTTCCATCTCAGCCAGGTGGGGACCAGTCCATAGCTGAACGTGAATCTCTGCTGTCCACGTCCTCTGAAGGCTGCTGTGAGCGCTCCAGCATATTGTGCTGGCAGAGAACGCAGCGTAGGTCTTCCTGTCCCAGCTTTCATTCGCTGTGGGTGGAGATGCGCAGAGATAGGAAGGACCCGACTGCCTGAGCTCAGCCACCTCTAACACCCCTCTCCTGGGGCTGAGGACAGCTCCTACATGGCATCTGAAAGTGAGCCTTTCTCCAGAGAAGGGCTGAGCAGGGGAGAACATGGGGTGGAGGGCAAAGAAATGGGAGTATGGCCCAGGGGGCCTCCCAGAGGAGGCCAGGCTGATGGGCCCTGAGGTGATGAGGGAGGGGGAAGAGCCCAGGACGGCCCAGACGCTCAGAGGTGGGAGCGTGCCTAAGAGGTGGCAAGGGCTGGTGCTTAGAAGTACAGTGCTTACCCAGCATGCCTGGGTTCCACCCTCAGCACTGCAAAATGCGCACATGTACACACACACTATCTATGCATCTAAGCGTGCATGCATGTGTCCATCCATCCATCCATGCATGTCTGTCTATCTTCATCATCATCATCTATCATCTATCTATCATCTATCTATCTTCCACCACCATCTATCTATCTATCTTAGAGAGAAAGACAGGGAAAAATAGAATGTTCTAGAAGTTCTAGAAATATGATGGGAACAAATGATGGAGAAGGACCCCTGGAAAATGAAGCCTTATGGGCAGATTCTGGAGCTTGCATCTTACAGTAAGAATTGTCCACAGACTTCAGCTGGCTGTGCCCCGAGCTCACCTGGGGCCGTGAGGGGTTGGAAAGTATAAAAAAAAATCAACTTGAGCAGTGGAGACTGTGTTTCGGTTGTGGACTGGCCTGTCCCTGCACAAAGGACAATGGAGACCCAATCCATCCTGTTCCTGCCTCTCCTGCAAGGAAGGCAGCCTGGACTCAAGCAAACAGTGCTTCGTGTGGGCAGACTGGCTTGAGTGGCTTGGGGCTCTTCCAAGGATGTGGTGTTTGGAGGTCTCCACTTGGGTCCCATCCCTGCCCTTTCTGCTGCGCCTCTGGAGCAGATTTCTCTGGGTCACGGTGTTCTTTTCCTCTTACCCTCAGCTCAGCGCTCTGCCCACGAGCTGCCCATGGTGGAGAGACAAGATGTGGACAGCTGCCTGGTCTACGGGGGCCAGCAGATGATCCTCACGGGCCAGAACTTCACGGCTGAGTCCAAGGTTGTGTTCATGGAGAAGACCACAGGTCAGTCACTCCCTTGCTTTCTCCTGCCTCTCTGAGCCAGACAGAAGCGAGCCTCATGCCACACTCAGCCTGTTGGGTAACTTCCTGTTCTTCTGTCTGCCTCTCCAGTGGCCTATAGCCACACAGGTCACCACTGATGTGGGTGACATGCTTGAACTGTCCTTGGATGTTTCCGTGGAAGACTAAACTTTCATCAACCTTTTTTGTTTTGTTTTGATATATTTTCCTCATATAGGCAAACATTTAAAAAAGTATCTTTTCCTATTTCTAAGAGGAGAAACCAAGTGCTTTGCTGCTCTGAAGTGGGCACTGGGGTGTCTCGGTCATTGTGAAGTGGGCACTTTGTCACTGAGGTTTGTTGCACAGGAGAAGCAGCTAGGGAAGAGGCTGAGTTGGAATGCGGGTCCCCTTTTGGGAATGCAAGCATTGGGTTTGATGAACTCTGACAACTCCTTAGACGAACCAGGTCTCATCTGTTGCAGGCAAGTTGTCTAGGAGCGGACAGCCACGGGGCCTAGATGGGGTGGCAGAGCCTCGGTAAGGATAGCATTGAGGCCTCTGTAGCAGAGCCTTGGTAAGGATAGCATTGAGGTCTCTGTTATAATCTTGTGATTAGACTCATGGGACAGCTTCCAGTGGGGACAGGGAGAGCAGCAAACAGACGTGGGAAACCCCGTTGCTGCCACACCAGCAGGAGGGGACAGCAGAGCAAATTCTGTGAAAATCCTGAGGTCTGAACAATGGGTGTGCCCATCTGAGGCAGGCATCTGTGTCTAGGTGGCCCTGGGGACAGGAGACACACTGGGGTAGGAAGGGAAAGTAAAAGTGACAACATAGCCCGCCCCCAGGTGGGAGGGGCTTACGGTCAAGTCCTTTCCTAGACATAGCTGACACCATTGCTGGATGAGCATGGGGAGAGGAGCACATTCCCAGCATCCCCGACTCCCCCACCTGCTGCTCTGAGCTCTGCCCTCGTCCTGATGACTGGAATGCCTGCAGTCATTGCCCGGTTTGTCCACACAGGCAGAATTGATCCTCAGGGCAAATCAGCCAACATGTGGCTTAGAGGTCGCTGGGGAGGCAGGAAAAGAACAGGAGTGTTAGAGATTCCCCAACCCAGGCAAAGGGCTGCTGCCTGTCACAAACCCATGTGCTCCACTGCAGTGCTCTTACAGATCGGGGGCAGGCCGGAGGCAGGGCTGACCCACAGGACTCCGCCTGTAGAGTCTCTCTGCTTGCAGGGACACATGTTCGAGTCCCTATTTTCATTCATGTTTTTTTTTTCTTTATGAACGTTTGTGCTGATGCTTCCTGGTTTCTCAGAACCTGGTTATAAACAGATGGGGTACATCCCACCGTGGGGTCTTAGAGTGTGTTATCAGCCCATTTCCTTTTTATTGAGACTGTGGAACACAGGTAGAGAGACATGGTTCTATTTGGTCTGGGCCCAAGGGTTAGTTACTTTCCCTTTGCAGTGTTGGCTGCCTTAGCAAAAACAGCTGAAGAAAGCGTTTGCTTTGACTCACACTTCAAGGGTCCAGCCCATCACAAGCAGCCGGTCACACTGCATCTGCAGGCAGGGGATGGGGAGTCCCGAGGCTGGTGTCCAGCCCCGTCCTTCTCTTGATTTGGACAGGCAGTTAGGGTGGGTCTCCTACCCCATTTAACCTCATCTAGACCACCCCTCACAGACACAGCTGGAGACCTGCCTCTTAGTTGATTCTAGATCTTGTTAAGCTGACAATATTCTCCATCACAGCATAGTGGGGTGGTGGGCTGCCTTAGTGGATGCGAGTAACGGGAACTGTAAACACCCAGGTAACAGCACCGTCTCCAGGTTGGATGCTGCTCCAGGATCAGGATGCTGTCCTCGGGCCTGTTGTGAATATTGACATGACAAGCATGGCTTTTAGCACCATGAAGGGAGAAAGCTGATAAGATGTTTTGTTTTTCATGTCCAAGGTGACAGACCCTCTGTGGTGACAGGAACATCTAAGAAAGGACTGACGATGGCAACTATTGGGGGCTGTCAGCGAGTTCCGCGTGTCTGGGTCAATAGTTTTGATGAATTGCTTCCTGAGTGAGTGAGCGAGTGCTGGCTGAGCGTCACTGTCTGTAACTGGACTTTCCGTGGACCAGCTCCCAAATAACCACACAGAGACTGCTTATAACTAACACTAATACCCCACTTATATTAATCTGTGTTCTGCCATGTGGCTCATTACCTGTCCTCCATACTGTATACCCCACGTCCTCCATGTCTGGCTGTCTGGCAAATCTCTAGCCTCTCAGATTCTTCCCTGAGTGCCTCTTTTTTCCTGTAAGTCCTGCCTCTCCTCTCCTGCCTAGCTTTTGGCCACTCAGATCTTTATTAAACCAATCAGAAGGAACCTTGGCAGACGAAGCTAAACAGAGACGCGTCTTCACAGTGTACCGAAGTATTACCTGACAACAGTTGCCTCTTGGTTTCCAGAGGCAGCCACACCTTGACCTCACCATGGGAAGCATTTGGCCTTGAAAAGCCAAGTTGAGCCGATGGGAACAATCATAATGACACATTTCCCATCTAATTCATCTAACTAATAATGCTGAGTTACTATTATGCCGTCATTAGTAAACTGACAGTCGAGGCCAGGGCCGTCACCTGTAGACAGTATGCAGCCTCAGCCAGTGGTTTGGCTTCTGTCTGTAAACTGACACATCAGTCCTGCCCCTGGAATGCGGGGGGCGTAGGGAAGTCAAGTGCCCAGAGATCACAGCTCATGGTCATTGGACACGTGTGGCTGTCTTTGAGGCCCTCCAGAGCTCTGGCCACATGCCTTGTGTGAGGTTCGTGTTGTCTGTGTGTGGGTTTGAGTTGGGGGTGGGGCTGCCAGCTGCAAGCCCAGGTGTGTGGTGGTTAGTTCCTAGTGTCACCTTGTCACAACCTAGAATCACCTGGGAAGAGGGTTTTTATTTGTTTGTTTGTTTGTTTGGTTTTTCAAGACAGGGTTTCACTCTGTAGCCCTTGCTGTCCTGGAACTTACTCTGCAGATCAGGCTGTCCTCGAACTCAGAGATCTATCTGTCTCTGCCTCCTGAGTGCCGGGAGTAAAGGCGTGTGCCACCCCACATGTGGGAAGAGAGTTTTAATGAGGAATTACCTAGGTCAGGTTGCCTGACATGTCTGTGGAATGTCGTGCTGATGTGAGAGGATACAGCCCTTATGGGCAGCACCATGTCTGAGGCACAGGAGGGAAAACAACGCTGTCTGCACTTGACAAACACAGAGGCAGCATGACTGCCCTTGTTTCTCTGTTCTTGCTGGGTGACCAGCTGTCTCAGCTCCTGCCTCTGTGACCTCCATGAAATGATGGGCTCTGACCCATAACTGGAAGCAAGAAAAAAACCCTTTCTTTCCGAGTTGCTTTTTGTCAGAGTATTTTTCACAGCATCAGAAATGAAAGCATTCAGAGCCTGGTTGCCGTCCCACCGTGAGTAGACTCCTGGACCTCTCTGAGAAAGGACTTCTTTTGGTCAAGTGATTCACCGTTCTGCAGAGTTCAGAAGATAAGGAGGCGAGCACGCAGGCTGGGATCTGCACACAGACGAGGCTGAACCCACTGAGAATGCTCAAGAAGCATGAGCTGGGTGACCAACTGTCTCAGGTTCCTGCCTCGGTGATATCCATGAATGACAGGTTCTGACCCATGATTGGAAGCCAGATACAGCATTATTTCCTTTTGTTATTACACGTTGCAAGGGAAGAACAAAGACAAGAGTTCAGTCAAAATGCCAGGAGACATTCAAAAGCAACAGTCACTAGTCCTGAGCCAAGTTCTGGTCTAAGCATTTTCCCAGGCTAGCCAGTCTGATTCCCATGATAGCCCTCCAAATGAGCTACTCTTCCCCATGTTCTATAGTGAGACTAAGCAGAGACATTGGATGAAGGTCACATAGCTGGTTCCTGGTAGTGACGAGACTTATTTATGTTCAGGCAGTGTGGCTCCAAGGTCTATGAAAGCTCAGACCTGGGGTGATTTGTCTGAGATCCTTTGTCTCCCAAAGCATGGGCTTGAACCAGGTTGTAGCGATGGAGAGCCCTGAGTTCTGCAGAGGTGTTGGTACAATATCATTGCCGAGAGTCTTCCAGAATCTCAGGGACCAGCAAGGCCTTCTGAGGCACCCTGAGTATCCCCCAAGAAGTGGGCTTCCCTGAGAGGGCTATGTGGCTCCTGTCATCCCTGGCAGGGGGACCTTGATAATTTGCAAGGTGCAGAGCTTGCTCTTTTGACCCCGAGGGTTCACTGCCTCCAAGGGAGACCCATGTAACTGAAGTTGGTTTTTCCAAAACCGGTCCTGTGTCCATCTCCATGGACACTTGGCCAGTAGGCACAGCATGCAGGGTGGGGCAGCTGAAGTTTTCCAAGGCAGGGGAATCCCAGCTGCTGTTCTCATTAGGAAAGGTGACAGCTTCGGGCTAATCTTAGCAGCAGGGTTTGGTCATCGGCACTGGGAGCCTCAGCATGCTTTTTATAGCTGTCCGCTAAAACAGGCTTGGCACTTTCCACTCCATCAAGAGGACAAGCTGAGGAGGTGGAAAACCAGTGAGGAGAGGGGCCGCGGGGTGCTTGGGTTAGGAGAGCCCCGTGTTTTGGAAAGTGTGGTTCTATTTATAGCGGCAGTCATAAGAAGGATTATTATGAGTGCCGTACTATTTTTAATTCTTCGTAGGACTTGCAGGGACCTGTGAGACTGCATTTGCCCATCCGTCTGATCTCAGCTGATCATCTCTTCCCCTGGTTTTCCTGGCTGCAGAGAAACCCTCTTCATTCTGTCTTTGGATACTCCGTGCTCCTGCATGCCCCAGGACCGTGGCATGTGTTGTTGGCTTTGTAATACTTTTCCTCTGCTCCTTCATGCATGGTGTCTCCCATTACTTAGAAGCCACTTTCCTTGAGGTGTTTTTGCTCAAACCTTCATGGTCCACACCCTAACCCAGTGTCACGCCATCCTGACCCA